TTTTTTTTTTTCTTATTTTTTATAGGGAAGCAGTTAACTATCTAAAATGCAGTGGGGTTTATTTTCCAGTGTTTCAAACAGAGCTCTAATTTTGCTATTAAAAGAAGTTACTTTGCTTTTAAAGAAACTTGACAGGTTAAAATAAACAAAAATTGGATGTGTAAACTACTACTATCAGATGTAATAAAACAATGTTAACTTGGTTTCTTGTCTTGCTGTATTTAGAAACTTAATGATTCCAAGGTGATTTTTTTGTGCAATTGTGCTTAAAGTTGCCATGGAAATATAAATCCTCAAAAACGACTTTATTCTATCAGTGGGAATATTTTTAAGGAATGAGCCATTATCAAATTGTCAACCTTATTGATATGTATTTTACTATTGGGACACAATTTTACAAATGAGAATTGTTTATGTACTTATGTGTGTATACACACAAACACACATGGGGTCTTCAAAAGATTCAGGGAAAATGTGTATGAAAACTATAAATAGATTTCAATTTCTTTTGCACCAAAATAAACCTGTAGTTAATTTTTTAGTGAGCATTTTGAAGTCTTCATATGTGCGTGTGTGTGTGTATGTGCGTGTGCATGCATACTAGATATTTTGGCTGTGTATTAGAAGAATTATAAGGTGTTCATAGTTGCAGAGTGTTCCAGAAATAGTATCCTAATATAGGAGTTTTACTTTGAAGAGTGTTATAGTCAAGGGAAAACACAATGACTTAAAAAAAAAAAAGACAAAAACACAGTCAATATTCCAATCTTAATTTTGCCAGATGCAAAGTAAATATCATCCAGGCTTTACTCAGATGATCTAACTAAGGTATGGTGTGTTTCTCAGGGAATCTTTTCTCTATTTGTGAGTGTGCTCTGTCACAAATGGAGACTTTCTTTTAAAAATGTATTAGTTATAGAAAAGGCCTAAAATTTTACTATAATTTGAACCATAATTTCAATTCCAGGAACCTTTATTGTGACCATTAATTTCGTAAGTATTTGACTTCAAGAGTGCCCATTGGATTTTTGTTGGTGATAATAAAACACTGGATAAATTATCATGTCCAGGATTATTGATTTAGTTAAATACTGGGTCATAATGGTTGAGAAGCATGAATCCAGAGCCAGCAGGCTTGGATCTGAATCCCAACTCTGCCTCTTAACTAACGCTATGATCTCAGAAAGGCTGCTTATCCTCCCTCTTAATTTTCTCATCTTTAAAATCACAATAAAATACCAATCTCATAGGGTCATTGGGGTGATTAAATTATTTCATATATAGAAAGCACATGAAACATTGCTTGCACATAGCAAAAGAATAAGAAGTGTTAGATATATAGCAATATTATATAGTTGGTGTGTGTTTGTGTGTGAGTGTGTGTGTTTGTGTGTGTAGTCCTGAACAGATTCTTTTCCAGAAAATGGAATTATGGGGGCCAGTAGGTGGTGTGGTGGTTGAAGTGCTGGACTCCCACATAGCTGACCATGGTTCGAGCCTTGGACCCGATGGTTATTCTCTTTCTTTCTCTCTTCCTCTCTCTTCTTCTCTCATCAAATTAAAAATAAATAAATTAAATTAAATAAGTAAATATTTTAGAATGGAATTAGGGTTAACTCATATTGTGTTTATTTTCTTTTTCTTTTTTCTTTCCTTTTATGATTGCCAGAGGGTACATACACTCACTAGAGACAGGTGGATCATAAAGAGACGGAGGAAGAAAGCTCCCACACTCTAATAGGGTGTGTTCACACTGCAATCCCCTCTCCTCCATTTCTCCAATCTGGTGGGATTTGGGGCATGGATACACATGTGCCTAGTGTGTTTTTCAAGCTGTCAGGGCCAGATTTAAACATCAGTCGACCATATGGCAAATGGCTCTCTTAACCAATAGACTATGGGGTAAGCTCAATAACACTTTTATTTTAAAAAGAGGATTAATACCAGCCTAGACAGCTTCTTTTTGGCTCTTGTATTATGTAGAACTGGGGTTGGCTGCATGGACATAAAACTTAAATAAAGAGCACCCAAAGTAAGTTTGCAGGCAGGTCTCTTTAATCTGACAAATTATTTTGATTCCACAGGTTTGATGCTCAGATCTTTCATGTTCTTTTACTTAAAAAAAATTATGGAAAAATTCATAAAGCATAGAAGTCATCATTTCAACTTAATTTTTTTTCTTTATGAAAGTGTGCAAGTTCACAGGTGAGTATGAGAGGAGAGAGAGAGACAGAGAGAAAGAGAGAAAGCTAAGGCATACGCATGACACAAACCTCTTCCTCCAGTCCTCCATCCCATAGGATCTTGGGCATTCACGTGCTCTGTGTGTTTCAGACTGACAAGGCTAGGCATTCAAGCTATGGTCACCATGTGAGGTCCAGCTTCACCTGAGCAGTGCATTACCACTGTGCCACAGAACCACCCACATTTAAGGTTTATATTCTTTTTTAAAGAGATTTTTCCTATAGGGCACATGCACTCTCCAGAGAGACAGAGAGAGACAGAAAGCAAGAAACGACCCCTAAGGGGGATGGACACCCTGCAGTCCATTTTCTTCCAATCTCCTCTTTGGATTTTTGGCATGCACGTACACACCCCTGGCATGAAGTTCAAGCTGCTGGGTCTGGGAGTTGAACAGCTGTCAACTATGTGAGAGTCCAGTGACTTAACTATTATGCCATCTGGTGGTCCTAAGGCATTTTAAAGTGTACTACAATTCAGTTAGATTTACTACATTCTGAATGTTGTGCAATCATCAGCACTACCTAGATCCATAACATTTATGAAATATTTATTTATTTATTTACTTCTTCCATAAGCAAGAGAGACAGAAAGAGAGAGGGAAAGACAAGGGAGGCACCCCCAACAGGACACAGAGGCCTTGACCTGCCCCCTGACTCAGCCAGATTTTGGGCATACACATGTCTGGCTACTCGGGGAGTTCTTCAGAAGTGGACCTGGAACCTCCCCTTGAGGGTCAGCCTTGTAGAGCCTTACATTTTATTATTGTAGTACCATCCAGGCCCCTAGTTCCAGAACGTATTTTATCATCCCAAAAGGAAGGCTATTGGAACCAAGAGATGGTGGAATGGTTATGTCGCTGGACTCCCACGTAGTTGACTGTGGTTCAAGTCCCAGAAACAGAGACATAAAACTCTTGCTGGGCGCATGTGCACAGATCCTTGCATGCCCAAGATCCCAAGAAAATAATGGAGGAGAAGGGATTGCAGCAAGGCCATGCATCCAGGGTGGTGATTTTTTTCGCTTTCCATCTCTGTCTCCCCAGCAAGTGCATGCACCCTATAGCAAAAATCTCTCAAAAAGAAAAGGAGGCCTATCAAGTAGTACCTCCCCTTTTGCTCTCCCCATTATCCCCTGACAATCACTAATCAACTTTCTGTCTATGAAGTTTG